GTAAAACTAGAAGACATTTTCACAGTACCTATCAAAAGTATAAATGCAATACCACTGGCACTGGCCATCCCAAATTCTGGATATCTATCCCACAGAAATAATAAAAACTTGGAAACAATCAATAAATTCATCAATAAAGGAATTAGTTAAGTAAATTAAGATGCACCCACAGAATAGAAATGGATCCAGGGGCCGGGCACAGAGGCTCATGCCTGTAATCCCAGCACTTTGGGAGGCCGAGGCAGGTGGATCACGAGGTCAGGAGTTCAAGACCAGCCTGGCCAAGATGGTGAAACCCCATGTCTACTAAAAATACAAAAAGTTAGCTGGGCATGGTGGCATGCACCTATAATCCCAGCTACTCGGGTGGCTGAGGCAGAGAATTGCTTAAACCTGGGAGGCAGAGGTTGCAGTGAGCCGAGACCACACCACTGCACTCCAGCCTGGGTGACCGAGCAAGACTCACGTCTCAAAAAAAAAAAAAAAAAAAAAAAAAAGAAAGAAAGAAAGAAAGAAAAAGAAAGAAATGGATCCAGAAGCAGCATTTTTTTAAAGGGTGTGGATCTCTGAGAAATGACCCAGAATGACAGCTGTGAATATTTGCAGGGTGTAAGTTTTACTAAACATATTTACAGAAAATGTACAGAAATATACAAGTAATATATATTACTTTGAGAAGTAAAATTTACAAGTTGCAGAACAATATGTATAGCTTCCACATTACATGTACAATTATTACATTTTGGAAAAATCTTTATGTAGATGTATACGTAGAAAAATATCTGCAAGGATACACACTAAAGTGACCATACAGACCATCTCCAGGCAATGAAAGTTGGGAGTTATTTTCATGTACTTGATTCACAAATATTAAACCTTTGTAGTTAAAATAAACTTTTTAAATAAAGACAAGTCAAGCTAAAACCTATTTTGTCCTTTTGTTCTAAATACTATAAAATCCTTAAAATTTAGAAGACCACAAAATTCAACATTCATATCATCAAATTAAATTCCTAGATATTCATTTCTCCCACATGTGCATGAAATCAGATCGCTTTTTCTACAAAAAGATACCACATATTTCATTATTCTAGAAAATCCTCGCACTGCCAGCTCTAGGTTTGATAGGAAGTCACTGTGAAATCCAAAAGTCACTACTCTGTTCAAACACATCCACAAACAGTAAGAAAGTTACTGACTCTTAACTTCTCCCTGTGCCAGAACTTTTTGTAAAAGGATTTTTCTACCAATAGACAAAGTGCAAAATATCAGAAATAAGGTGATCCAATAGTATCTGGAAGACAAAAGGCAAAGTATACTAGATACTCCTAAGAAATACTAAATTGTAACATAGACATTGAGAATAGATTGTATTAGATGTACTCCATGATTCTGAAAACATTTCAGTATGAGAAAAAATACACTTACACACTTTCCAGTAATCATAAGGCATGCTTGCCTATCAGTGTATACCAAATTCTCGAGGAAAAAAAATCACTTTTGCCAGCAAGTATTAATCTAAGACTAGTTTATTTTACTTGCTCTAACAAATTAAATGTGAAAGCACTGGGAATACAAAAATAGTAGACATTTCCAAAAATATCAATTTACGTTTTTTTTTCAAAAGTCCTATGTCATGTAAGTATATACTCCTACACCAAAATTCAAACACTATCTAGCCTTGGGTGACGAGGTGACTTTTCCCCCTTTTTACTCATCAGTGTTATATAAATTTTTACGATGACCATGTATTATTGTTTGTATCACATTTGAGAAGTCTAAAATAGGGCCGGGCACAGTGGCTCACACCTGTAATCCCAACACTTTGGGAGGCTGAGGCGAGTGGATCACCTGAAGTCAGGGGTTTGAGACCAGCCTGACCAACATGGTAAAACCGTCTTTACTAAAAATCTTTACCATCTTTAGTAAAGATGGTAAAACCGTCTTTACTAAAAATACAAAATTAGCCAGGTGTAGTGGCACATGCCTGTAATCTCAGCTACTTGCGAGGCTGAGGCAGGAGAATCGCTTGAACCCAGGAGGCAGAGGTTGCAGTGGGCCAAGATCGTACCACTGCACTCCAGCCTGGATAAGAATGAAACTCCTTCTCAAAATACAAATAAATAAATACATAAATAAAATAAATAAGCTTGGAATTTTTAACAACCTCAGAGGCCCAGGTAACAACCTTTTCTCAGTGCTTCTTCCTTATGTGAGAAAGGAACCCAGGCCAACCACGGGAAGGACACTCCACAATTTTAATCCCATGCCCAGACCTGTCTTCCAGTGTAATAAACAGGTCACTTAGCATTTAAATCTCTAACTTTATAAAGATAACACTTAGCCCTCTTCCCACAACCAAAAGCATATAATATTTTATGATAAAGGCTTTTACCAGAAAGACTTTATGACTTAATAAAAGGTATAACAGGCCAGGCATGGTGGATCACACCTGTAATCCCAGCACTTTGGAAGGCCGAGGTGAGTGGATCACAAGATCAGGAGTTCGAGACCAGCGTGGTCAAGAGGTGAAACTCCTTCTCTACTAAAACTACAAAAGTTAGCCAGGCATGGTGGTGGACACCTGTAATCCCATCTACTTGGGAGGCTGAGGCAGGAAAATTGCTTGAACCTGGAGGGTGGAGGTTGCAGTGAGCCGAGATCGCACCATTGCACTCCAGCCTGGGCAACAAATTCAAGAAAAAAAAATTAAGATGAGACTCCAACTCAAGAAAAAAAAATTAAGATGTATAACAGCACATCTCCCTTCCTTCTATTATTTCTGCCATTGGTATGCAGTAAACAACAAAAAAAAAAAAAAAAAAAAAAAAAAAAAAAAACCTAAAACAAGAACTAAAAAAGGCAGGAGGGGGTAAATTCTATAATTCTGTCAATAACAATTACAAGGCTTCCAATCATTCTATCCTAATAGGCAAGCAATTCTTTTCAAAAACTATAAAACAGGGAATAAGTATTGCTGGATTGACTTTAAAGAAACTTTAATTAATCAACAATCTACCTTTAAATTGAGTGATGCACAGACACCATGTTATTTTTTTGGGCTGTGACAGATCTAGTTCATCACTTATAGGTGGCAGGAGAAAAAAAATACATACACACGCAAACAATCTATATTCTTAACGTGGTGTTGAGTTTTAAGAAAGTCAGTCTGGAATAAAACACCTCAAGCCTAAAAAGGATCAGCATTGGCCGGGCGCGGTGGCTCACGCCTGTAATCCCAGTACTTTGGGAGGCCGAGGCGGGTGGATCACGAAGTCAAGAGATCGAGACCATCCTGGTCAACATGGTGAAACCCCGTCTCTACTAAAAATACAAAAAATCAGCTGGGCATGGTGGCGCATGCCTGTAATCCCAGTTATTCAGGAGGCTGAGGCAGGAGAATTGCCTGAACCCAGGAGGCGGAGGTTGCGGTGAGCCGAGATCGCGCCATTGCACTCCAGCCTGGGTAACAAGAGCAAAATTCCGTCCCAAAAAAAAAAGGTTCAGCATTATACACACACACACACACACACACACACACACACACACACACGCCCTCCTTCACCCTTCAAATGTCACATTAGAATCAACAACTTTAGACTGTTTAGCAAGCAATACACTCCTAAAGCCACTTCTATAGCAAAAGTCACCATGATGCTTAGTTCACACAGTAAACTAGTCTATGAAACCTATAATCAATGGCACTATAACCACCAGGGTGAAGGTAGTGAGGTAATAGTTTCCTCTACCACATGTGAAAAACAAAAGTTAAATGAATGACAAACATTGTATATTCATCTTCCTTGTGCTAAATATAGCATCTGTGGCAAAGAATTTACAAAATGGCCATAAGAATTCCTCCCATACTTGTACACATGTCCCTCTGCCATGTGATTTTACTGCTCCTCCCAAAAAGTAAAAAAATCTATTTCCTTTCTCCTTGAATTTGAGCTGCCCTTGTGATGTGCTTTAACCAACAGAATGTGGCAGAGTGGCACTGTGTGACTTTCCAAGACTTAGGCCTCAAGAGTCCTTGCAGCTTCTAGTCGCAGTATTTTGGAACACTCCTGCAGCCAAGAAACCAAGTACAGGCAAGTTTCTTTCAGGATAAGAAATCAGTGGAAAGTGAGGACCAGCCAGCAGCCAGCACCAAGCACCTCATGTGCAAGTGAGACCATCTTAAAAGAGAGCCCCAGCCAAGCTGACCGTGGGTCTGCCCCAATCTGAAGAACTGCCCAGCCCAGCCAAACCCAAATTGCCAACTTTCATTATAAGCAAATAAAATGGTCCTTACTTTAAGTCACTAAGTTTTGGGGTTATTTGTTACACAGCTATAGATAACTGATACAGGGAATGTCAGAATCCACGAAGAGAGAACTGGGTCTTTCAGTCTGTCAGAGGCACCCTTGACAGCAAAACTTTAAAAGAGGCACCTACCTCAACAAGAAGCCACTGCTGAATCAACCCTGGAAAAATTATACTGTTCCTATCAATTTCCTTGCCTTGACCCCTTGTCAAGTCCTGCAAACTGTAAACCTGGAAATGCCCCCAGGTTCTTATTTTCTCTCTTTCTCAGGCCTGCTCAGGTCTGAGGTGTACTAGTCTTTGCCTCGGAATGAGCCCATTCTCCCTGGCTTCACAGATCTGACTGTAGAATCCCACCCACCACCCTACCAAACTCCTCTCAGCCACCATCAGCTTTTAGTTTTGCAATCCCTACCTCCATGCCAACTGCTCACTGTAATCTCCTACCAAGTCCTAGATAGTCTTACCACTTCTACGAAATAGTGATCCAGAATCTGTTACAAATAATAGTAAACAAACTGACTGAAAACAACTAACAGCACTGTCATGCTAAAGAGTCGTTTTGTAAGGTTAAATACTTATTCCAATACAAATATCACTGCTTCAAACACGTTTAGAAGCCTCTTAAAAGCAAATTAATGTCACCTTAGAAAATTAGTCTCATTTCTTCATAGGAGGACTGATAGAAATGGCTACTTTTTTTTAACCAGAAAATAAACACTAACTTTATTAATATAATAGCAACAGAACAGGTTTCCAGTGTCTCAGAAGGAAAATAACATGACACCAGCACAAGTGCTGGAAGAGTAAATGCCTACATTTCTTGTTCTGATAGCTTCCCACCACACACCGAAGGTTCCTCAAGGACAGCTGCCACCAGCACTGCTGCGAGAACATGTGTTTCACCAGGCATAGCTTCACAGTCAACTCCTCAAGCAGAAGGCTAAAATATTATTTCTTTTTAGAAGATCTTGGTTGAAGGAGAACATATCAATAAGGAGAACAGATCTTTGCTTCTCGAATTCAAGAAAAACCATTAATTAATCTATCAGTTTTTCTCTCCAATACAGTGTGCCAGAGTGCTCTGTGAGGAGTCCTTTTCCATCCCTACCACGTGTCTGGGTGAAGGGAGAGGAGGGGGTGGCAAGCTGCCAGTACACTAGCAGGCACTCCTGGTGATGCTCTGGGCTCTGCTCCCTTTCTGCTAGTAGTAGTAGGCATCTTTTCTGGCAGCTGCAGCAGCTTGAGGTGGAGGGGAAGAAGGAGCCAGCCACCATTCACCTCTTCTTGAAGCCGTATTTTTTGAGTTCATAGAAGAGGTACAGATCTCTTAGAGCTCTCCAAATTGACTATCTTTGGGCAGCCATCTCTATCCTTCTCCTGGATGGTGCACTCCTTACAAAAATAGGCAGCAGAGACCTCAGGGCCTCGACAGATCACACAGCGGCCCTGGTAAGATCCATAGTTACACTCATCGCATATGCACACCGGTGTGCAGGGACACACATAGGAGTCACAAATCACACACTTGCTGTCACAGTTTTCACACAGTCTTCCAATGGCAACACCAGCCTATTTGCCGCAGAAGATCTAAGTTCTTATTTAAAATAAAATGTAGCATGAAGTCAAAATAGATACCCTCCCACACATCCCCCTGAAGGAAAAAATACTTTCTGTATATAAAAATTCTGATCTGATTAATTTAAGGTCAGTCATACCTCAGAAAGATCATCTTTCCTACTTCTGTTACTCCCTTTCTTCCAGGTAGCTCCAAGAGACAAGAAAATATTTAATTTTAAACAACTCCATATGGCTAAAAATAATTTCATTTTTTAATATGATAGACGAAATGGACTACAATGTATAAGTACTAGCAAAACAAGCATCCAACTGTAACTTTACCTGTCCTAGTCACTGGAATGTCAATTATCCCCCTTTTCCATAAAGACTGTTTAGGCAAAAATGTAAGTTACAAAGCTGCCTATATTATCTATTTCCAATGGGCTTTAAAGAACAGGACATGAAGGCCACGCACAGTGGTTCACGTCTGTAATCCCACCACTTTGGGAGGCTGAGGCAGACGAATCACGAGGCTAGGAGTTCGACACCAGCCTGGCCAACACGGTGAAATTCCACCTCTACTAAAAATACAAAAAGTTAGCTGGGCATAGTGGCGGGCGCCTGTAATCCCAGCTACTTGAGAGACTGAGGCAGGAGAATCACTTGAATCCTGGAGGAGGAGGTAGCAGTGAGCTGAGATCGTGCTACTGTACTCCAGCCCAGACGACAAGAGTAAGACTCCATCTCAAAAAAAAAAAAAGAACAGGACATGAAATTATAGCCTTCAGAAAGTCTTGCAGCATTTATGAAGACAATCGGAAAAACGGCTATAGATGAACTGACAGGCTCATCATCTCTTGGCCCTAGAGATCATCACTTTTTAAACAACTGATGGGTATTTACTTTACTAAAGGTAAACACTCTAGCCCTGATCTTGACTTATGCCAAAAATATTACTATTCTTAAGTTTATCCTAATGATCACCATTTGAAACTACACAGAAACACTTTCCCTAGTCCGATTTCAGCTACCCGACTACCCAGGAAAGGTGCCATGTTAAAAATGTTTCCACAACAACTTGTGTTTAAGGTCAGGCACTGGGTTTAAGACTTCAGAAACTTCAAAGGGCACATACAAGGAAAAATTTTAAAAGGATTACATAGTAAAACATTCTCTGTTACAGCTCCGGTCACTCAAGGGACACTAAATGTGAGAAAGTACAGGCTGTTCCTGAATTGCCCAAAATTAAACCCACTTAATCTCCCTACATAGATTTTTTTTTCCACCCCTCCTCAGTCATTAACTCCTTCTCCCAACAGAGCAGGTATCCTACCCAAACAGTGGTTACTACATTTCAATTTCTATTAAGGTACTAGTTTAAATGATGTTTTACTTGCTTTGTGACATATAACTTAATGATAAACCATTAATTCTTGAATTGGTCAAATACCAAAATGTTCCTAACTCAAAGGAAAAGAAAGGACTATGATTCAAATTCACTGTTTAAGTGACTAAAATTAACAGGGGTATTAGTTTTCCTAATTAGGGTTAATTTCAGCACTTCTTTGTAATTTCTTTTTTTTTTTTTTTTTGAGACAGAGTTTCGCTCTTGTTACCCAGGCTGGAGTGCAATGGCGCGATCTCGGCTCACCGCAACCTCCACCTCCGGGGTTCATGCAATTCTCCTGCCTCAGCCTCCTGAGTAGCTGGGATTACAGGCACGTACCACCATGCCCAGCTAATTTTTTGTAGTTTTAGTAGAGACGGGGTTTCACCATGTTGACCAGGATGGTCTCGATCTCTTGACCTCGTGATCCACCCGCCTCGGCCTCCCAAAGTGCTGGGATTACAGGCGTGAGCCACCGCGCCCGGCCCTGTAATTTCATTTTTAAACCTATATAATCAGTCCCTTCTTCACAACATAAAAGACAAACTGAAGTGATTCTGACTACCATATCCAACCCAAAGACTCTAAAGTGATTTTTTTTCAAGAAATGTAACATTTTGATATTTCTGAAAATACTGGGTTTCATTTGGACAGAATCTGTGTTTAGTCATCACAAGTACATTTCCAAAATGAGGTAAGTAGGTAAGATAAAAACTCAAACTTCAAAACTATCTTCCTAAGTCGACAGGGGTATCTGTTTCACAACACACAAGAATACTCTTCTGAAAAAATGAATTGACTAGCTTTCAGAGAGAGCACAGAGTGAAAACAAAATATTTTTAAAAATCAGGTTAGTGATGCCTGTCTCCTTTGTGTACTAAGCTGGTGGCAATACCTTCGCATGTTATTAAAAGGTGGCTTCACACTACTTACAGCCATCATCATAGTATTTAGCCAGTCTTTGAACATTTCCAAGAAATTACCATCCAGAGCCATGCAATACAACTTTCTATGATGATGTAAACGGTCTGTATCTGCACTATTCTATAAGGCAGTCGCAGCCACAATTCATTATTGAGCACTTGAAATGTGGCTAGTGCAACCAAAGGACTATATCCTATTTCTTTAGTTTTACTTAACTGTAAACAGCTACATGCGGTTAGTGGCTACCAAGCTGGACAGGGTGATGCTAGCCCCTTTCTTCTGGGAACACTGCTGCTGCTGATTGTTATAAAATATCAGTCGTGCATAAAGGACCACCTTACTCCAACTAATGCGCAGTCATGGAGTATATCTATTTCGTGTACTTTTCTTCAACCCTCAACTTCCTGCACGTCAACCTTACTTTACAACACACACCCACCTCCGACAGAAGATAACCAAAGATTAAAAACATAATCTACTGTAGTAGACCAGGCAACAGGTGATGGCTAAAATGAAGATATTGTACATTCACATATAACCTGGTTTACATGTTAAATAAACATGCCCTGATGAAGAAAGAAATACAGGTAAATAAAAATCATTTTAATGCCCCTAAAGAAGTAAGATTTTTACGGATTTCTATATAATAAATATGTTCTTAGATATATTTTTACTCTATTAAGTTTGAGTCATAGACCAGGTACAGTGGTTCATGCCTGTAGTCCCAGCACCTTGGGAGGATACAGAGGGAGAATCCCTTGAGGCCAGGAGTTTGAGACTACCCTGCACAACATGGTAAGATTCTGTCTCTACAAAAAAAAAGTCTTAATAGTAGTTATAAAATTCATTGAGTCAATAATATTTCTAACATCTTCCTTTATGCCAACAAGGAAACAATGTGATATAAGTGGAAAAAAAAAATACTGAATTAGGGAAGAATCATGAGCCTGGGATTCTAAGGACTTTGGGACCACAGGCAAGTTTCTTCAACTTTGGCCACTAGAGTTTTCAGTTACAAGACAAAGCAGCTGGGATGGATTTTTTTTCTTTGATTTTTCTAAAATTAAATTTCCTAACTCTCTTTATATTTTTGTGCCACTTCTCACTTAGAAACTGACTTACAAAAGCCAGCAATGACCTGCCATTCCTTCCCCAGGAACCCCAGGCTGCTGCTCCTCTTCCTCTGCTTTCTTGAGTCACCCCATAATTAAGCAAAGAGAGACACTGATATTGCCAGAGAGAAAGAAAGAGAGAGAGAGAGAACGAGATGATTCAAATCAAAATCTAAGCTACACAGGATAGGTCGATAGGCACCAACCCTCAAAATATAATTCTTTTCAATTCCCAGACTAAACAGAGTAGGAAATAAAGCAATTAGAATATCCCTTAGTACAAACTCTGGTTCAAACTAATACAACCAGTTCAAAACAAAATCATTACTTCTTCTAAGACCCTAGCCATCCATAGAATGATTCTGAGAAGTCTCACAACTATCATGGGTGACTGGCTTTCAAAATACTCCCCAACTGAAGAGCTATCATTCACAGGGCAAAAAGTCATCCACCTCTACTTTCTGTTTAGTATTTCTGACAAATAGCTCCAGTGGTGACTAAAGGTTAAAAACCCAAACCCCATAAATGTCAATAAAATGCATATTTTTACCTAAGAATTGCATGAGCACCCCCAATACTAGGCTTCTCAGAGTTACACTAAATGCCACTTACCTGGAAGAGGTTTGAAAATAAAATCAGGGATAATATGAATGCAGAGGTCTCTACCATTTCTACCTTAAAATGTTTTCCCATATATCAAAATACACAATCCGTTTAAAAGGTCAATTCATCTAAATCCTCAATGTTCAAGAAGTTTCTTAAAGCTAAGCCAGGGTTTATTCTCAAATAACTGTTTGGCAAGTGAGAAGAAATTTGAAATATATCATTTACTCACATCGGATTCCAAAGTATTTACGTAAATCAACTCTAGATATAAAGTACTGCCAATCCTGTCTCTAAAGGATTTTTGTTTCTCTTCTGCTTTTCAGTTAAGCCAAGTCTGAAATTCCTTTTTAATTAATATATTGATTTCTTGTCTAGTAACAAAAACTTGACCAATTAATGGTAGATGTGGAAAAAAGAAACACTTGAATCACTTCAACTAAGAGCTGTTTTGGTGTAACCTAAACAAAACCACCCTAGAGGAAAATGTAGGATTTCACATGATTACATGGGGAATTATATTTAATGAGGAAAAAAAAAAACTTTCCCAAAAAGTACACCGTAGAGGAATTATAACATCTATTAGATTGGTTTTGACTTAAAAAGAAAGACCCGGTTCTATGGTCCACACCCATCCTATCAAGTCAGTCCCTTATAATTTGTAAAAATAGAACTCCTGCCATCGTAACAACCTTTGAAAGCCACTTGTTCTGCAATTCTGCTCCTATGTTTCACCTGAAACTCTGATCACCTCCAGCAATCCTGATTCCTACACAGGAAGAGGCTCCACAGAACTTCAAGGTGAGAGTTATATATAAATACATGAATAGCAAGAGAAAGAGATCACTGGTGTACTCAAGAAAGGAAAGCTCCAGAGCTTTTGAAGGGTAGTGTGGGACTTCCCCACTCCACCCTACAATGTCTAAGTAAAGGACGCCAGAAATGTGGCAGGGAGCTCTGGGTCCTGTAATCCAGCCAGAAAGGCCATCTCTCCATCCTATGACCTCAGGAGTGCCAGGCCTCTGCCTACCTCCACAACACAGGCAGGTGGACGCACTCAAAGTGCTTACTCTTGATCTGTGAGGATTAATGAGCTAATTTCTACAGAGCCCTTTAAGCTGATTGGCCCAAACGCAACTAAATAAGCACCATCATTAACCACAGGCAAGATCAAATCCTCAGGATTCAGTGAGGCAAATTTTTAGGCGTCAGGCAAAGCTCCTCTTCCACAAGCAAGGCGGGGGGGGGGGGGGGGGGGCGGTTTTTATCCCCAGAACTCAGACCTTCATCCAAAAAACATGTAGTAAACATTTATTATGAGATGCAGGGTGTGGAGATGAGAGACCCCGTCCTCAAGGAGGACTTAACAGTCTTAGAGCCAGGCTGGCAAGGAAGAAACAATCTGCAGACAGTGTGAGAACTGCCAGGGAGGGAAAGACCCAACCGAGTCTGAAGGGCAAGCAGGGAGGGAGGCTCTAGAGGCAGATTGTTTGTGTGACAAGAAATCACTTGTTCAGGGTATGAGAAGGGAGGCCCAGTCAAGGTGCTGGTTACATGGTATATTCAATTCATGAACATGCACCAAGATACACATTTTTAATATATACACTTTTCCACATGCATATTATACTTCAATAAGGGCAATACTTAAGAAGAGACAGAGCTCTCTGCTACACAGATGAAAAATGGAAGGGTGTTGGAATGGTGGTCCAAGCAAACGAAAATCTTGCCTAGAAGAGGCATTTCAGCAACTGCAAAGGGTTCCAACTGGGTGGAGAGTCTGTCTTAAGACCAGAAATGGCAAGATGTGGCTGACAGGGGAGGCAAGAGACAATTCCCAGAAGACCCCAAGCACTGTGCTTCAAATTAGTCTTAAGGATAATGGGAGAGCTACTAAAGGGGTTTCAGCCTGGGAGCAACGTGATAAAGAATTCTGGTAGAGCAGTATCACTCTGGTAGCAATGCACATGACAGCCAGAAACAAGAATGGAAAAAAGGAACCTGGTTATGAATTTATTACAATAATGCAAATAAGAATCGATGAGGGCCTGAACAAAACCAGTGGTGGCTGACATGAAGAGGTAAGTCAGATCAAAGATTTCAAGGAGGTGGAGTATTTAGGACTTGGTGACCAGAAAGATGTGGGAAGTGGAGGAAGACAGGAAAGTATAGAATGGCCAGCAGGTTTTGCCCTTGAGGGCTCTATAGAAGACAAATATAGAAGGAACCAGATTAGGACTGAGGCAAGGGTGGAGAGACAATGAGTTTAACTGTATAAACTTCCTGTGAAAAATTCAAACGAAGACATTGAACAGATAGTCCAAACACTGGTCGATAATGAGGAGGATCCTCGACATCTGAGGTGGTAGTTGAAGCCTTAGAGATGTGGATCCTGCATCTGGGGCGGGCAGGGGTATACAGGAAGTCTAGAAGGAAGGGATGGCATGGAAGCCCAAGCAACAGCCCTTCCAGAAGCAGAATGAAAGATGGCACCTACCCCTGCAGAGAGAAGCACTACAGTGTCCACTGGCTCTGGCCACAGAAGAGTCACTGTGATTTTAGAGAGAGTAACTTGGTTCCTTCCAGGAAAGAGCAGAAGCCAGACTGCAGTGGGCTGAGAGGGAATGGGAGGTGCCTTCAAACAGTTTAGCAGTGAAAGGAAGAAAGGAGATAAGGGAGTAGCCAGAGGAGAAAGAAATAGAGAGTCTTTTGTTCTCTTTTGTCATTTAAAGATGAGAGAGGCTTGAGAATATTTATAAACTGAGGGGAAACCAGAGGGGGAAGTAAGGAGACAGGGAAGCAATGGTGATGACTTTATCTGAAAATGAAGGCCTCTGTCCTCGCACTGGCTGGGACACACAGGGAGTGTTTCTTTTAGTCAGCAGCATTTCCTGCCGGCATGGCAGCCTCCGGGCAAACTCAGAGGTGGAGGAAAAGTGCAGTCTTAGCAGGTTGTTCTCAGGCCTCTCATAATGGGTTGCTCCTCTTCAGGAACCTTCCCGCAGGATGCTCTCATCATTTGTCAGAGGGCCATTTGGCACCTAAATCCCTGAGCTGTCCAAATCGCCAGGAGCACCACAGGTCTCTTCAGTTTCCTCCTACAGCAGTGGAGGTGCAAGGGGAAGTCAGATCTCTAGGGGGCCTCTGGCTCCTCTAGTAAGCTCCTTCCAGCAGCCCAGCAGAAAGAGTGGGACTAGGGAACAACCTCTTCCCACTTCCTCCCTGCTATAAACATAGCAGAGAAACCCTTCAAGCCACTCCAGAATCTTGCCAAAGATAGGACTATGTTCTCTCCTGATAACTTGAATCTGATTAGCAAATGAAGTCTTTAGAAGTTATAGCTAAGACTAACTGAAAGCATGCTGTGTGCCAGGCACGATTCTCAGTGCTTTATATTCTCTCAATCCTCACAACCCTATTTTTATGACTTCTATGTTACCAGTGAGGAAACTGAGTGCAGACACATCTAAGTCATTTGCTCAAGGTCGTAGCATCAGTGACCGCCATTGCAGGACATGAAACAGGCCAGGCTGTTGGATTCCAGAGCCGGCACTGCTGCAACTTATCCTCAAACACCATCAGAAAATGTAGTACACAATAAGCCCTAAAAGTCAGGGAAGAATTCATAATACCATTAGTTACAAATGAAATGCATAAAGCAAGGATTCCAGTCACTTTACCATAGTTTCTTTTTACCTTGAGATCTCCCCACCAGGCCCCTGACAGCACATTTAAAAGAGTATTTCTCTTGTAAATATAATTAATGCCATTGAATTGCACACTTTAAAAACAGTTAAAATGGTACAATTTTTTGTTGTGTATATTTTACCACAATAAAAATAATACAAAATAGGCCGGGCACAGTGACTTACACCTGTAATCCCAGCAATTTGGGAGGCTGAGGTGGGCAGACCACTTAAGACCAGGAGTTCGAGACCAGCCTGGCCAGCATGGTGAAACCCCTTCTCTACCAAAAAATACAAAAATTAGCCAGGCCTGTAATACCAGCTACTCGGGAGGCTGAGGCAGGAGAATTGCTTGAACCCAAGAGGCAGAGATAGCAGTTAGCTGAGCTGAGATGGTGCCACTGCAATTCAGCCTGGGCAACAGAGCAAGACTCCAGGAAAAAAAAAAAAAAAAAAAGAAATATATATAAAGAGCCCAGGCACAGTGGCTCACGACTATAATTCCAACACTTTGGGAAGCCAAGGCAGGAGCATCGATGAGCTCAGGAGTTCAAGACCAGCTTCAGCAACATAGTGAGACCCCATCTCTTTAAAAAAAAAAAATTAGCCAGGCATGATGGTTTGCACCTGTAGTCCCAGCTACTCAGAACGCTGATGTGGGAAGGTCACTTCAGCCCCGGAGTTTGAGGCTGCAATAAGGTATGATTGTACCACTGCACTCTAACCTGGGCAACAGAGTGAAAGAAACCCAATCTCAAAAAAATAATAATAATAAATACAAAATAACATTTCTACATACATTTTTCTACTTATTAAAAAAAAGTGAAATGAAATTAAAATCAAAGCCCTGTCTTCTTTGAGACAAAGCATCTCAGGCCTCATCTAGTATTTAAAAAACAACAACAAACAAACTAATCCAGGTCAAAGAACCCACTGCAGCGGCAAGTCAGCCTGGTGTAAAGATCTGAGAGATCAGAACACACACTCAGTACTGTGGCTCCCTTATGCCTGCCCTCAGACTGCCTCTAAGATATCTATAAAAACCAATTCTAATCTCCAAACCACAGAAATCCACAGAAACTTGAGAGCACAGAGCAAAGCAGGAATGCCCGGGGCTATATACAATCTCATTTTACGAGAGGCTGTTGCTCCTTAAAGACCGGGCCATATGCACTAACACCTGGACCTGAGGAAAACACACCTGAATGGATAAACAAAGCCCCACAGGAGAAAAATAAAGCATTCAAAGGAACCCTCTGTCAAACCATGGCCAGGATTCCAAAACTCAGAATTCTTTGTGTTGACTGAGATGTCAAAATTGTTACTTTTTGGTCATTCTAAATGACCACCCAGGAAAAACGTGAAGCAATGCTGAGAAATCTAGTACAAAACTACATAAAGAAAGGTGCATCCTGCAAAAAAATCTAAGAAAATCAAACATATGCTGAGGCAGGAGTCTAGTGTTTCTCAGAAGAAAATCAGCAAAGATAACAGCACTGCTGGAATCACCTGATTCAAATACAGAAATTGGTACTTCAATGACTACCACTCTTTGAATGAGAAGTTCATTGAGGGTGCTCCATTCCATTACGGATGGCCAAGTAAACACTTAGATGATTCACATTCATTCCCTGTTTAGCAAATCTAGGTAATATTAACGCCACCAACAAATAAACTAAGTTTTCAACTGCCATAGCTTTAAGCGTCCCTTATACTTCTCCAGGTAGGGGTACCTACCTCTGGGGACTCAACTCACCCCCAAATTCCTTCTTTAGAGAGGTAAGGAACAAAGATTAATAAGGCTGAAGAGTATAAACAGGTTGGAAAGCCTCCAAAGAGACAGAAATATTTGAAATCTACTAAAATAAGGATATCGATGGCTAAAAGAAGGAATTTAATAATTTCCAACATTTTTAACCCCTCTGTAAATATAAAGCTCCCTTCAATCAAATTTACATCGTTTCCAGGTCATGAATAAACTTCTGAACCAGAATACTCCTAAGAGCATTACAATTTCTCCACTGACCTTTTAAAACACAACAACAATACAACAAAGAGAAAACTTTATTTTTAGGCTTGCAAAATCCTGTGCTTATTTTTCTAAAACAAAAGTCAAACAACTGAACCTGCTTTGTTTGGATTTTAGCAAACTTATTCTCTCCTAATCCTGGGGACCCCAAGGAAATGAGAAAAAAAAAAAAAAAAAAAGTGCTCCACGCCGGTGCCACACTGGAAAGTTAAAACACGGTGCCTCCTTTGGCTTTCTGCTCAGGCACATCTGAGCCTCCTGCTGCTGGTCATGGTTCACACTGCTGGAGTCATATTATATGACACCTGCTGTATGTCGGGCAGGTAGAAGCAAAGGCTGTCAACTGGCATTCATGTTGAAACTGGTTCAGTGTTTGAACTGCTAACTTCTGCATGTAATGTTTAAGCAAAAGTGCTCAGCCACAAGTTCAGTCTTAATAACTCAACTAGCATTAAACCCTAAATAGAAATGGGTTTGCAATTCCCTATAAACATTAAGCCATTGCAAAAAAAAACCTATTCCAGCAATTTGATTTTTCAGTAACAGGGCCTCCACACAGGCCATCTCCTAGTTGGGAAAATGTGAGATAAACTTTAAATGCAGAAAAGCCCTTTCCACAGTGCAAACGTGCAAAAGTCAGGGTAGAGTAAGCAGGTGTTTTTGTTCTCAAATTCCTCAGGTAAATCTTTTTTTCCAATCAATTGACCAATCATAATTAACAGGGCTAAAACTGCAAACAGAAAGAAGTCCTGCCATTAATCTCACTCAACTTAAAGTAAGATTTTATTATTTCACAAAAAATACTGTTTGCAAAAGGCAACGTTTGTATTTTAACCCTAATAACTAATCAAGTAGGAATATACATTGATTATAAGTTCTTCCAGTCCTATGGACTCTATGGAAAATTATATGACAGATACCATTATTAAACTTTTACAGCCCACCTCTTCCTGTCAGGGACGGAGTTCACAGATGGTTAGTGAAGGCAATAATGGAAATAATTAAGTACCTTACAAACTCAGACTTCAAAATCCAGCTCAAATATGACCTCTACTAAGAAATACTCTGCTTCCTTCTCTCTCCTGGCAGTCACTCCCTCCTTTGGGCTCCCCCAGCACTTACTTATCACATCCTTTAGGATCCTTTTCCCATGTTTCTTAACAACTCATGATGTCCTTGAGGGCTGGGATCACTTTTGTTAATGTCTATATTGCTAGCAAGTAGGGCAATGCTTGGGACACAGCAGGCCTTCAGATCTTGTTGAGCAAATAACAACTATGAGGTTACATGCTATGAGATCTTTAAAAAGAAGGGGCAGAATAAGTCACCGTATTTTGCCTTGAAAGAAACAGAAGGCTTCTCAAGGAATATTCACACTCACCTTGGAAGCAGAGTGAGATTCAGTGCACAAAGATGGGCACTCTCACAGTAGGGAAGAGCCTCTGCAAGGCAGCAAAGAATGGAAGACCAGATGTGCGGAAGACAGTGTTGTATTAAGGAAGCAATCAGTGAGAGTAGACAATGGGAAGAGGCAGGCAGGTTGAGGGTACAGGGCTTATGTGCCAGGTTAAAAAGGTTTCCATGGAATATTCTAGGCTTTGAGAAACTCCTGAAGCTATGTATTTCGGGCAGTGACATGAAGACTCATCCCTTCACAGTCTTTGCCCAAAAATTATAGAAGATCTGGGTTTTCCATGAATTTTGTCTACTAATGTCTATTATAGGAAATCTGAAGCTTTTAGATCCTAGGTTACTGCCCTGCCCAGCATTTTCTCACATATTTCTGTGTGTGTGTGTATTCTATATATACATATCTATGTGTATATATATACATATACACACACATATTTTCATCTACGCTATGTTTTATTCCACAGTAGCAGGTGACAAAAGCTCATTTAAACACCTAATGAAATTTTTGTATGTGTTCTAATTTTTTTAAGGGAGATGGAGAATAATTTTTTAAAGTGAAAGTCTTAAGATAAATATCCTGAACTCCTTTTTCATCGCTGTACTTATATACCAAGAATCTGAGAAGGCAACATCCCATCCTTGCGTCAGTAAGGTTAGACGCTGAGGGCCCACTTTACCTGGAGGCTTCCCTAAGTGACAAGGCTCTCAAACTGGATGATCCAATAGGGAAGGTTCTAAGTGAAGAGACAAAACAAATCTCCTGGCCCTTCATGTGCTTAGCCCAACGAAAAGTAACGCCAAGCCCTGCGACTTTGCCAAGTATTTAAAAATGTAAGATAAGGTGATATTTGCTAACCAGCCAGAGGCATCGAAAGGCAGGGAGCAGATCACCGACAGTCTCGGGTTTCACTTTTGCATTTCGGCCTGGACCAGAGGGAAGCATCGGCCCGGTGCAGGGCAGGAGGCCAGGGCACCCGCTTTCCCAGGGAGGCCGGACTGGGCGGCAGGCGGCGCACCCTGGCACGGAGGGAGGCGGGTACCCGGGCGCGCCGAGTAGCGCGGAGAGCCGGGCTGCAAGATGGGCGTGGAGTGGTGGCTGTCAGGGAGAGAGAGGCCAGCATCCTCCCCGGCCTCGGGAAAGCAATGGGGCCTCCGCGTTACCCGCGGCGAGAGGGTCACGACGGGAGGCAGAGGCGCGGCTGAGCCCGCAGAGTCCCCCAGGACGCGGCTCCCGGGGCGCGGGGGCACTGGAAGCCCCGGGCGGCGCCCCCCGCAAACCCACCCCACCCGCGCCTGCCTGTCCGCGTGGCCACCGGCCACGAGCTGCGGCCCCGGCACGCTCCCGCTCCACCGCCCCGGCGATCCGGGAGATAAAAGTTTGCAGCATGCGGCTCGTCTGCAGTGCGAGTCACATCCGCCGCGCCGCCTCCTGCAGCACCAGCGCTCAGAGAAAGAACAAATATATTTTTTAAAAAAAAACTGTTGAAGCCGGTAGGCCCAGAGGCCGGCTGCTCTGCCTCCCGGGCATGCAAGCAGGCGAGCCCAGCATCCCGCGCCCCCTCCCGCCCCCGGCCGCGCCTCCCGCCGGGCCTCCGCGCCCGGCCTGAGCCTGCCCCGCCGCGCCCGCCGCACTGACCGATAACCTCCTGCAGCTCGTACGCGTCCCTGCAGATGGGCCAGCCGACAGCCTGTGCCGCCGGGGCCGGGGCCGGGGCCGTGGGCGCTGCCGGGGCCGGCGCTGCTGTCGCGGCCGCGGGGACCGCCGCCGCCGCTGTCACCGGGGCCGCCTGCTGGGGAAGCTGGACGTGCACAGGCGAGCCGCTCGGCTCCGCCATGATGCTGCGGAGGAGAGCAGGAGGACGCGCCGGCCGGCGGACGACCTTCCACTTGAAACTTCCTTTGCCTCGCCGCCGACACCTCTCGGCCGGCGCACGCCCTCCCCGCCCGCCGTCGCCGCCGCCGAAGCCAGCCACGAGGGGAGGGAGCGAGGGAGGCCGAGCAGGGCGGAGGGAGGAGGCAGCGCCGGCGGAGGCGGGGAGTGGAGGAGGCGGCGGCCGCCGCGCTCGCCGCGCGTCTCGAGCCTCGCGCGCGCTGTTCTCCGCCTCGGCGAGGGGAACCGCCGCCCCGCCGCCCCCTCCCGCTCCGCTGGCGGCCGAGGAAGTTCCCACCAAAGGGGAGCCAGGCCGCTTTGTGTGAGCTTTCAGGGCCAGCAGCCCTGGTTCTCCTCCTCCCTCGCAGCTCGCCCTGCGCCTTCGCCCCAGACAATCAGGCTCGCCAGAGGACGCCCCCTGGGGACCCCGAGGGCTGGGTCGTTGAACGGCCGCCAGATTCTCACATTCGGAATTCTGCCACCAAAGAGAACCTGAAGTTCGCTTACAAGTTAACGAGCGGGACACCTACACGGTGTCCCTTTGCAGGACACCAGTCAGAAAATAACACAAGTTGTGACTTTCTCGCGCTTTACCTGCCAGTATCCCTTTACCACCTTGTCCAATCTAATAGCAGTCTTGCTAGTTTTTCTTAAATGAAACTTGATTCCTTAGATTCCGGACTGTTCACAGACTTTATTTTTTTCCAAGCCACTTGGATCCCAAGGAGGCGATTTTAAGGGGCTATGGAGTTAGAAATAAGACATGGAGGAGAGGTTTAAACAGTTTATTCAAATTCTACACCCTTAATAACTTTCCATATTAATTAGCCTGAGAGGACACTGGGGCCAGACATTAGGGGTTTTCTTTAACAGAGTATACTTGGTGGGGAAATAATTTATTGAGGCATGAATAAACCGTTGAAAACTTTTAATTAATTGTTGCTTTTTCAACACCCCAAAAATAACCTCATCTGTAAAACTGCTATGGTAAAACCATAGGTCTTCCTAATTATAGGTGTTATATACAACAGTGAATGTGCTCTGTGTTCCCTCCGTGGAGGTGACCAGGATCCACCATTCTTGTCTCCAGCGGAAACAGTACAGTAAACCAATAGTCGTGTTTGTCAAGATTATCTTGTCTGGTTCCCATTGCTAGGACTACTGAAGAAATAGGTAAGAATAATGACCATGCAATAAAAACTCTAGGGGAAATCATGATTTTGTCTATCGAGTGTATGTACAGAAGTCTCCCTAAAATTTTTGAAAGATTATTCAGAAGAAACCCAGAAATTTATTAGAAAATTGTCTAATGAAAACATTGGTGTTCACTGAAGATGAGGGCACTTAATCTCTTGGAGTATTACGAACAGTTGGAGTAAAGCAGCTACCTCGCTTTAATCTTGAAGCAGAAGTTCATGCTGAAGTGTATGTTCTTTGATGCAGAGGAGTCCAAAAACTGTCTTGATGGTCATGTCTGTCAAGAAACCATGGCTGCTCACCTCTTCAAGTGCTGCCTCCATCCTACCCCAAAGAACTTTTAAGGACTGTTGTTAAAAGAAAAGAAAAATAATCAAATTACTCTGACTTCCACTTTGTCATATGAAGTTCTGTTTTTGAGTTTCAAACCGTGAGGTGGGATTGTGAAGGCTGGGAAAGTTCTTGGGACTTCGTAGGAAAACATGATGTTGTCAAGATCAATATCACAGAATTGAATCAAACACGGATCAGTTAGTCTCCCACAAAAAACAACTGTTCCACAGTCACAGACCACATGTCTGCCTCTAGCCAACCACTTTCCAAATGGCTACCAGGATGAAGATTTGCTTGAGTGGATGACTCAGTGCAGATCCATCACTTCTTCAGTAAATCGGTTTAAAAAAGAATGTGCCCTGGCATTGCCCTTTGGCATCATTTTTATAAATGAAGAATGGAACATGAATATTTTTAATTATACAAAAGCATCAGATTTAATTTTTCTGTAAACAATTGGGTAAAATGGTACTTAAAACTTAGAAATATATGTATTTTAAAAGTATTCAACTGATAGGCACTTTTCCCTGAAAATCCATTACTAAATTTAAGTTGAAAGATGGTGACGGAGGCGGGTGCCTTTAAAATATAAACAAGATTTATTCCAATGCATAAAGAGTACATTCAGTGAGCATCGTTAAAAATAGAAAGGAAAAATAAGGGTCTAAATTTTTCAAAGTGTATCCAATTGCCTCATAATGTGTCAGGGTTTCTCAGTCTCAGCGCTCTTTTGTGCTGGGCAGTTCTCTTCATTGTAGAGGTCTGTTCTCCTGTGGTATGGTCCGAATGTTTCTGTCCCCCTAAAATTCGTATGTTGACACTTACTCGCCGATGTTATAGTATTAAAAGACTTTAGTCTTTAGCCGGAGAGTGGGTCATGAAGACAGAGCCCTCCTGAGTGAGATTAGTGCTCTTATAAATGAGGCTGGAAGGAGCTTGATGACTCCTTCCACCAAATGAGGACGCGGCTAGAGGCACTAGCTGTTAAATAGAAAGCAAGCCCTCAGTAAATACCTAATTTGCTGGCACCTGGATCTTGGACTTTCAGCCTCCAGAACTGTAAAAATGAATTTCCATTGTTCGTAAGCTATCCAGTCTAAGGTATTTTGTTAGAGCAGCCAGAGCAGACTAAGACACCCTGGCCTCTGCTCGATAAATGCCAGTAGCACCGCTACTGCTGACATCGTGACTCTCAGCAATGCCTCCAGACATTGCCAAATGTCCCCTGGAGGGCCAACCATGCTTTAGGTAAACTAAGTATACAACGTTTTCGTTTTATAAACAGATTGTTGCAGTGGTTATTTTTATTACAAAGAGCTTCCATAGAGTTCCATTATTTATTCATAAACCCTTTAAACATGTAAGAGAGGATGTGTAGCGAAGTGGCCAAAGCCTTGAAGAAAGAAAGTGCTGGATTCAAATCTTGCCTTCAACGTTTTGTTTTGTTTTGTTGTTTTGTTTGTTTGAGCCTTGCTCTTTTTGCCCAGACTGGAGTGCAGTGGCACACTGCAAGCTTCACCTCCTGGGTTCAAGCAATTCTCCTGCCTCAGCCTCCTGAGTAAATGGGACCGTAGGCACCCACCACCATGCCCAGCTAATTTTTGTATTTTTAGTAGAGACAAGGTTTTGTGTTTTTGTTCATTTGTTTGTTTTTTGAGACAGAGTCTCACTCTTGTCACCACCCAGACTGGAGTGCAATGGCACAATCTCAGCTCACTGCAACCTCCACCTCCCAGATTCAAGTGATTCTCCTGCCTCAGCCTCCTGAGTAGCTGAGATCACAGGCATGTGCCACCACATCCAGCTAATTTTGTCTTTTTAGTAAAGACAGTTTCACCACGTTGGCCAGGTTGGTCACAAACTTCTGACCTCAGGTGATCCACCCACCTTAGCTTCCCAAAGTGTTTGGATTACAGGTGCGAGCCACCATGCCCAATTCAACATTTTTCTAGAGATAAGGTCTTGCTCTGTCACCCAAGCTGGAATGCAGTGGCATGATCATGGCTCACTGCAGCCTTGAACTCCTGGGCACAAGCAATCTGCCTCCTTAGCCTCCCAAGTACTCTGGATTACAAGTAGGTGCCACCATGCCCAGCTAATTTTTATTTAATTTTTGAGAAACAGGGTTTTGCTATGTTGCCCAGGATGGTCCATGAACTTCCTGGTCTCAAGTGATCCACCTCAGCCTTCCAAAGTACTGAGATTATAGTGTGAGCCACCGTGCCCAGCCTCATTTTTTTAAGTTTCTGCCTTTGGACTTACTTCATTCTCTGAGTCTCAGTTTTCTCCTGTGCAAAAATCAGTACAGTACAATAATAACTTCCATGTTTTTTTTTCTTTTTTCTTTTTTTTGAGACAGAATCTTGATTTTGTCACCCAGGCTGGAGTACAGTTACATGATCTTGGCTCCCCACAATCTTCACCTGGAGTGTAGCAGCATGATCTCAGCTTCCCGCTATCTCTGCCTCCCGAGTTCAAGTGATTCTCCTGCCTCAGCCTCCCAAGTAGCTGGTATTACAGGCATGTGCCACCACACCACATGGGTTGATAATGGGTGACACATAATAGAAGTTTAACAAAAGGAAAACCACCACCACCATCATCATCATTATTCCTGTCTGCCAAGATTTGTGGCAAAATATGTAGTGCAAAGATATATAATTACAAGAATGAACTTTGCAGAATATAAGCTCCCTGAGGGCAGAATTTTTTGTTCCGTTGTTTTACCGTTGTCTCCCAGTACCTAGAAAAACATCTGGCACAGAGTATACTCAGCAAATATTTGTTAAATGTTAATATAACACTTTTTTTTTTTTTGAGACAGAGTCTCACTCTGCAGCCCAGGCTGGAGTGCAGTCACAATCTCAGCTCACTGCAACCTCCGCCTCCTGGGTTCAAGTGATTCTCCCTACCTCAGCCTCGTAAGTAGCTGGGGTTACAGGCATGCGCCACCACGCCTGGCTAATTTTTGTATTTTTAGTAGAAAT